CATCATCTGTGACGCAGTGGGAAGGCCTTTTGCGTCTGATAGAATTCCTCGGCCGTCCGATCTCATCCGAGGATGATTTCCAGATGCATCAGCGTCTATTTCTATTCGGCAGGTGGACAAATTGCTGACTGCCGAGACCAGTTCTGGTTAGACTGGAATCGATCCCCAGGTTGCATTGTGCTCCGCGAATGCAGCCACCCCCAACACCACTCCTCCAGCCTCATTTTCAAATGCTGAGTTTAGAGTCAACGAGAACGGTACGAGCAGAACAGAAACACCGGTACTTTCATCTCGTGGCAACGTGCGCACAGTTCTAAACTATTAGTGTCTTACTAGGCCCCGAACTGTGGAGGTATTGAACTTTGCTCGACTTAATTGCATGGTGCACCATACCAATTGGGAGCAACTCACCATTATACTGACGCATAAAGTGATCCCGTTTTCTTTTTCTGTGATCTTGTAGTGTACGCTAGCTGCTGTTTTGGTGGGTGGGTCTAGAAAGTGATTTCCAAGGTAAAATAGGATGAGTGAGTTCCGTTAGCGATCGGTGAACGTTAATCAATTAATGTAAACGGGCAAAACAGCAAGTCCGTGGCGTCAGACTTCCGATGAACAAGTTGCTGGTTCGAGCCTCGGGTGGTGCACCGCCTGGGATTTGGTATGGCTGACAGATTACGGCTAATGATCCAGCCATGGCCATTCCAATCGCCCTTGTCGTTGCTGATAATACTAATCTCGACTTTACGAAGTAGGTAACCAAACATCGGCCAAACGATTGTTTTCCAAGACAATGAACATGCTGAACGTCTACCCGACGAAATTAGATGGTTACCATGTAAATATAAATTTCCAAGAGGGAGGAGGGAGAACTTTATTTCCGTCCCCGGAAGATTCTTTATCCAGTCTCTGTTCGCCAGCTCTAATTTCGTTGGAATGAAGATTGTTGCATCATTTAACCGATGCAATCTCTATTCACTTTCCACAGGATGCCTGGGAAGGTCTCACTTGTGAAGGCAGTGCCGTCGGTTCCGTGGTTGCCGGAAGAACCTAC